TTTTTTGGTTGTTTTAGGCAGGAGGGCAAATTTACCTGGTCCCTATTACTTTATCTTGGCCCAAATGTGATTTTATACCTATGTTTATGTTCCAGTTGGGGCACTATTACATTATTACTGCAATAAATGTGGTTGACTTAAATTTCCTTTGTTGAGAAGCTGTCATTTTTTCAGGGTATGTATTTAATGCATGTTTGTCAAAGGTACTAGGTGATAACTCCCTTCCTTCTTGCTTCTTTATACTTCGTAGCCTGTTAGGGATATAATGGTACTCAATAGAATACTAGTTATTATAGTAATATGAGCTTGTAAGTTCTTTTGAAGAAATTCAGTATATGTCATAAATTAACTGTGTTAACAAAAAAGGAAACGGCAGAAAGGAACATGGAAGTAGGAATCTGGTAGACTTGGGCCTTTTATTGCAACAAAGGTTCATTCATTAGTGAAGGTAAAACTATGGAATGAAAAAAGCAGGTCAGGATTGTAGGCTGCTTTCCTTCCCACTATGGATAATCTTTGCATGGAAGAAACTGACCACCTAACATGGGGTTTGCATAGGAAACTGCGGATCCCAGGCACTTCAGCAGTTGGGTCTCTGTTGTGCCATCAGCCCTGTGCTCTGGAGGGGCTGCCGAGTTCATCTGCCAAGCAGCCCAGCAGGGCTCCCAGGGAGTAGGGAAAGTGGGCCAGCCCACCAGCTAGCCACTGTTCACGCTCACTTGGCAGAAGGTGCAGAGGGCAGGCCCACTCAGAGCCAGCTGGCTGACTCCCATTTGCAGGTCCAGCGAGTCTGGGCCAAACTGCCTCCCTTTCGTTCTCTGGCTACGCAGTCCCCAGTGCAGCTTCTGGTGGAAGCAAAGGAAGCTGGCACAAACAAACAGCCCCTCAACCCTGTTCTTGACATGCCGTTGCCAAAATTCAGTTTGAGGGAACAAAAGGCAAACATAAACCTCAGCTCCTGCTGGAGAAGTTAAGCTAAAAGAAACCAAAAGGAGTGAGTGGCTCAACCGCTCTAATTTACTCACACATTTCTGCTGTCAAACTGAGGGAAAGATTCCTCTCTGGAAAAAAAGGAAACCTCTTCAAGACATCTGTCAACTCATTTCTGAAAAGTCAGCTTCCACAATTGGTGGCTCTAAAAAAGGGGGGTGTCAGGAGCGCTGGCAGTAGTGACATCTTTTGCAGTTAGTAACTTGGATGCTGGCTTGCTGGGTGGGTGGGCTGGTGACAGAGGCCTCCTTAGCTCCACTCCCGCCCACCTGGAACAGGAGTTCCACAGCTTATTGATGCCAAGGGCCCATCTGCCAGGCTGGGGAAGCCTATGGACACTTCTCAGAGCAATGCTCTTAATACATAAAATAAAATGTATCAGATTTTAAAGAAAATCAATTAGACTGAAATATAGTTATCAAAATTTATTCAAAGCCAAGTGTGATGAGGTTTTGCCTGTAATCTCAGCTCCTTAGAAGGGTGAGGCAAAAGGATCGCTTGAGCCCAGGAGTTCGAGACCAGGGTAGGCAATATAGCAAGACCCTGTCTCAAAAAAAAGAGAAGGAACAAGATCTAATGGTAAAAGAAATGATAAATTATTGAGGTGGTAGATTTCCCAATTATCTTGGTTAGATCATTATACATTGTATGCCCATATCAAAATATCACATGTATCCCATAAATATATACAACCATTATATAGCCATAGTAATTAAAAATAAAAAGCAAATATCTAGAAAAAAAGATCTAGTGGTAGTTCTAAAAACTACCCCCATTTCGAAGTGGTGATGAGTGTCCATGCCATTTCAAGGCATCTGTAGGTGATGTGAAAGTAAATGCTTTCCTTGGGGGACAGCATCACAGGGCTTTGTTGTCTACATGCACAAATGAAGGGAACAACAAATTTCAGCTAAAGGTTAATTTTTTAAAAATTCAATGTTTTTCTCATCCAACTTTACAAACTCCCCTGAATTCTAGTCACATCTGTGAATCCCAGGACTCTTCAATGAAGAAAATGTTTCTCGCCCATCTTGGTCTCCCAAAGTGCTGGGATTACAGTGAAGCCCTGTCTCTACTAAAAATACAAAAATTAGCCGGGTGTGGTAGCGTGCACCCGTAGTCCCAGCTACTCAGGAGGCTGAGGTGGGGGAATTGCTTGAGCTCAGGAGGCAGAGGTTGCAGTGAGCTGAGATCGTGCCACTACACTACTGCGCTCCAGCCTGGGTGATAGAGCAAGACTCTGCCTCAAAAAAAAAAAAAAAAAAAAATCTGGGGTTTGACAGTGAAAACCATGAAACAAATGGCAAACCCCATGGGAAAGCACACTGACGCCCCTGCTCTGTTCCCTCGCTGTAAGACATCTTTGGAAAAAGGGCTCAATCCTAGATGACAGCACATCTTTTACATCTACAAGGTAGAGACGACCGTAGTAATACCAACCTGAAAGTACTATTGTAGGAACTAAAGTAGGTAATGGGGATGAAGGCATTTTTTTCTTTTTTTTTTTTAAATACTTTAAGTTCTGGGGTACATGTGCAGATGGTGCAGGATTGTTACACAGGTATACACATGCCATGGTGGTTTGCTGCATCCATCCCCCCGTCACCGATACTAGGTATGTCTCCTAATGTTATCCCTCCCCAATCTCCCTACTGCCTGCCATCCCTCCCCTAGCACCTCAACCCCCCAACAGACCCCACTGTATGATGTTCCCCTCCGTGTTCATGCATTCTCATTGTTCAATACCCACCTATGAGTGAGAACATGAAATTTTTGGTTTTCTGTTCTTGAGTCAGTTGGCTAAGAATAATGTTTTCCAGGCAGGGCGCGGTGGCTCACGCCTGTAATCCCAGCACTTTGGGAGGCCGAAGCGGGTGGATCACGAGGTCAAGAGATCGAGACCATCCTGGTCAACATGGCGAAACCTCGTCTCTACTAAAAATACAAAAATTCAGCTGGGCATGGTGGCGTGTGCCTGTAATCCCAGCTACTCAGGAGGCTGAGGCAGGAGAATTGCCTGAACCCAGGAGGCGGAGGTTGCGGTGAGCCGAGATCGCGCCGTTGCACTCCACCCTGGGTAACAAGAGCAAAACTCCGTCTCAAAAAAAAAAAAAAAAAAAAAAAGAATAATGTTTTCCAGCTTGGATGAAGGCATTTTGTAAGTTGCCAAACATGTTAACAAGATGAAATCTTTAGCACTACATTCTATTGATTGAGTTCTTTTTTATTTATTTATTTATTTTGAGACAGAGTTTCACTCTTGCTGCCCAGGCTGGAGTGCAGTGGAACAATCTCAGCTCATTGCGACCTCTACCTCCCGGGTTCAAGCGATTCTCCTGCCTCAGCCTCCCAAGTAGCTGGGATTATAGGCATGCGCCACCACACCCGGCTAACTTTTATATTTTTAGTAGAGACGGGGTTTTACTAAATTGGCCAGCGTGGTCTTGATCTCTTATGATCCACCTGCCTCGGCCCCCCAAAGTGCTGGGATTACAGGTGTGAGCCTCTGCGCCTGGCTTGATTGAGTTCTTATAGGTGGAAGGATCTTTATGGCTCACTGCTTAAGTCCATAGATTCCAGAGCCAGACTCCGTGGGTTCAAATTCTGGCTCCATCTCTTTTTAGCTATGTCATCCTATGCAAATGACTTAATCTTTTTGTGCCTCAATTCCTCATCTGTGCAATGGTAATAACAACAGTATCTACCTCACAGGGATTTTGGAAGATTTGACTGAGTTAATATACTTAAAATATCTGGAACAGTGGTTCTCAAATACAAGCATGCATCAGAATCTCCTGGAGGGCTTGTTAAAACACTGATTGCTGGACCCTTCCCCATAGCTTTGATTCAGTAAATCTGGGCTGGGGTCCAGGAATCTGCCTGTCTACCAAATTCCTAGGTGATGCGGATGTTGCTGGTCTGGGAACAACACTTTGAGAACCGCTGGCTTAGAAAAATGCCAAGCATACAGTAAGCAACTAATAAATGTTAGCTTTTATTATCTTTTCCTGGGCTCTATTTTTTTAGTCCCTGAGCAAAACACTTTATGCTCCAGTGCTACTCAGTACTGCCTTCGTGTGCAAGCAATTCTGAAATCTACTTGCAGTGATTCTCAAAGTGTGGTTCCAAGATAAGCAGCACCAGCACCCCCAGGGAGCCTGTCTGAAATGCAGGTTCTTGGGCCTCCATCCAGACTTACTGAACCAGTAGCTTTGGGGCCTCAATACCCTGTGCCCTAACAACCCTCCACGTGATTCTAATGCACCTCAAGTTTAAGAACAGCTCTACCAGAAAATCACCATCATCACCACAATGACCCCTTATTGAAAATGTACAGGGAAGCAGGATAGCTTAAGGTCCAGAGTATAATTTTTGGTTAAATGGAGTCTAAGGCCTGGCTCAGCCTGTTAGTCACCTTATAGCCTTAAGTGAGTTATGAATCTCCTTTATGCCCCAATTTTCTCACCATAAAATTGGCATCATTAGATGACCTACCTTACAGCAACCTGAAATGATACAAATAAAGTGTTTGGCACATACCACTGGTTCAAAGAATGTTAGATGCCATTGTTATCATCTTTATAATCATTCTGATATGTCTGCTGTCAATGTGATTAGAGATGGCTTATAACAAAGACACAAATATAAAGAAAGATTAAAAAAAAAAAGAAGAAGCAAAAACATCACACAGAAAGTGAACAGAATGAAAGGTGAAAGTCATGACAACTTGTCCTCTGCACTGGGGTCTAAACTTCCCTTCGGCCCAGAGCAACAAGGGAAATGCAGAGGCTACAAAGTTCTAATACCCTGAAAAGAGGAAGGAGGCTGGCTCTTCTGGAGAGACAGTATCATCCTCTACCCCTCACCACTATGAATCTTTGCACAAGTGCCTGTGTAAGAGGAGGGAATCTCCACAGCAGGGCTCCATGTACCTGCTTCTTTCATTAATTCTCAACAAGAGCCAGGGGTAACATCCTTAGATCTCAGAATTTGAGAACTATTACACTCACTTTGGGTGCCGGATATCTGGGAGAGAGCGATTCAAGGAGATTTTATCACTGACGTAGATATTAAATCCATTTTCTCGGTACGCCTGATCCACTCTCTCAGCATCGGTCATGGGGTAAGGTCTTCCTTGTTCTCCATTTCCTAGAAGCAAAGAGCAAATTTTATGTGGCTAATGATGTATGGGGGTACTCTATATGGAGTGGGGGAAAAGGATGAAAAATATGATTAAACCACCAAGATAAAACTTGGCTTGGATGTAGAGCATAGCTCAAATTTTTCAGGGGGGAGTGCAAAGAGTGGGAGGGGAGCAAGCATTTATTCAGCCACTTTGCATATCTTGTTCTCAGGTAATCACAGTGGCCCTGTGGGGTGGATATGAGACCCCTTGTTCCACAGAAAGATAATCTGAGACTCAGAAAGCTTATCAAATCAGGAGTATGGATTCCACCCATGCTCCCCTCACTCTGTCAGGAGCTCCAAAGACCCCTGCCCTTGGAGACCAGTTACTGGACGGCTAGTTCCACCATTTGTGAACTGATCAACCTTGGGCCAAGTCCCACCAACTCTCAGAGCTAAACCTCCCTCCTCTGATACCCACAGCACTCTTGGGAGAGAAAATGAGAGTGGCCCATTTGAAAGTATTTTGTAAACTATAAAACACTTCATAAACATGAGGAAAGGTGATTACTCTAGGTAAGGCCAACTTTATATGTAAATCAAAATTGGCATAAATGATAAAAGATGCTTTGATTTTATTTTTGTTTTTAGGCCAGCAAACAAATTAAGATCTGCCTACTCTAAACCAGGAGTGCCAGAAAAGTGTTGCTTTGAGTCATGGATTTGGGTGGGTTAAAGTGCTAGCTTTCCTCCCTGCATAATCCATCTGGAGAAGGAGTCTGACACTCCAGGAAATTTTTCTCTAGGCTCCCAGGGTGCATAGTGGGAATGTCCACATCGACCCCTGCAATAGTAGCTCAAGAATCTGTCATTGGTGAGATCTTGAAGAAATGGCAATAAAACCAGCTGGTTAAAAATCACCTTGCCTTCTGGAGCTTGTGGCCTGAGCAACACCTATTTACTCTGCAAAGTAAACATTGACAAAGTCAGATTGCCAGGAAAGCGCCAGCTGAGAGGTGGAGCCCAAGGGCTCTGACTGCTCCAATCCAGTCAGACAAGAAACAGGACTCCGTCACCTACAGCTTGTAATGCTTCATAAGACAACAGTGATTAGACCCCAGGACAGACACCGCGAGGCACCCAAACACAGTGAGCAGGAGACCAGAAGTGTTTGCTCAGGGAGGGAAGGTTCAGGAGGGCAGTACAGGAGACAAATTCAGAGTTCAGGCCCTGAAGCCGGGCGGAGTGGAGTTCCAAGACCAGCACTACCCATCCACAGCTATGTCATCTTGGGCATGCCTTCAGCCTTTCTGAGTCTCAGATTTTGCCCTTTGTATTAATTAGAATGAGAAGGTTCAATGTGAATGATGTGGCGATTAAGGAGGTAAAGCAGGCAAGATGCCTGGCACATAGCATTTGACAAATGCTGGTTATTCTTCTTAATGTCTCCACTGCTGGTTACTCTTTTCTGGCTGGCTAGCCCAATGTTCTAACAATTCTGGTATGTGGCAAATCAGCTCTTCCCAATCGTTTTCTTTCTTAATTTAAGCAGCACCTGTAATTCCAGCACATTGGGAGGCTGAGGCGGGTGAATCACTTGAGGCCAGGAGTTCGAGACCAGCTTGGCCAACGTCGTGAAATCCCGACTCTACTAAAAATACAAAAATTAGCCTGGCATGGTGGCATGGGTCTGTAATCTCAGTTAATTGGGAGGCTGAAACAGGAGAATCACTTGATGGGAGGCAGAGGTTGCAGTAAGCGGAGATTCCACCACTGCATTCCAGACTGGGTGACAGAGCGAGATTCTGTCTCAAAACAAAACAAACAAACAAAAAAGTCAGCACTCATTCCCCCTTTTCATTTTCTGGCATCTCTAGATTTCGTTTCTCATCAGTTAAGTTATTGTGGTAAGCTGGCTTTGTCATAATGTAATTTTAAAAAATCAGTAGTGGTGAGTACCTTTAATGGAGATAAAAAATGATAAAATACTAATACCAATCCCTTATATTTCTATAGTGCTTTCTAGTATTGCAAAGCTACTACATACTCACTGCTTTACTTGGCACACTCACAATAGCATCCTGAGGTTGTCAAAGCAGAAAGCATGAGTCCCACGGACAGACGGAACAACTGAGGGTCCGGGAGTATGGACTTTTATCTGCTGATTAGATGGCTGTAAGTGGCATCAGAGGTGCTCTCCTGATTCCTTAGTCCAGGCTGCCTAGAGCTGATTCTCCACATAATTTCTGTACCATCTTACCCCAACCCTTCCCAACTCTTCAGTGAAAATAGAACTGCTCTCAAGACTAATTAGCCAAAGAAAACTTTCGCTGAAGCCCTCTAAGTTGACTTCAGTCTCATGGCTGCAGTGTTAGGTAGGAAACAACTATGCCCTCCTTCCAGACCTGGGTTCAAATCCCAAGTCTGTCTGTTTCTCTCTGTGCAACAGTGGGCAGATTACCACCCCTCTTAGAGCCACAGGTCTCTTCTTATTAAATGGGCCATAAAGGTTGATTTGAGGTTTCACAGAGGAAATTTCCAAGTACAGAGCACGGATCTTCCTCACTACAGTATAGGGGTTCAATTAATGTTGGTTCTTATTATTACTGCTCCTTGTTTTAGTTGCAATCCCATGTGGCAGAGACATTGCTATCCTATAAAAATAAAATACAAAATAACCTATATGAGGGAGACATTTTCTATCACCCAATAAAGGTGCAGGCAAATTCCTGCAGGCAGCAGATCTGGTGATGGGAGTGAAGAAAGGGGTCAGCTAACAGGTAAAGAGGGGCATCTGGGAATCGGGGGAAGGTATAGTAGCTGACAGGGAGGGAGCCAAAAGGAGGTCCAGACACCCTGCTAAATACATACATGTATACACAAACACACACACACACACACACACACACACGCATATGTGCATATGCCCTTCACAGAGCCCACCCATGGCCAATCCTGCCCTCCTTACCTACGCGCTGAGCATCCCTCCGGATGCTGTCCTTGTCATGCCAGTCCTTCAGCTTCTGCCCATCTCCCAAGAAAAACGTCTTCTTTTGCCGACTGTGTGAGCCCTTAAAAAAAGACAAAAACTATGAAAAACAGAAAAGGGCAAATAAGTTCAGTAACAAAGACTCAGGAGCTACACTGCCTAAGGGAGTTTTATACTGACCAAATGCCTGACATCCCGTGTTCTTTTCTCCACTCCCTCAGCACACTTTTGTTGGTGTCTTGCCACATGCCAGCTAGGTGTACAAAGGTCAGCAAGATGACAGAAGTGTGGCATCCACCTTTTGGGAACTCTCAAATTGGTGGTGGAGAAAAAAGATGAACACATTATTTTCACCCAAGGGAGAAAGTGTATAGTGTGATGCTACCCAACAGAACTATAACATGAGCCACGTATGTAACTTGAAATCTTCTAGTAGCCACATTTTAAAAAGTAGGTGAAATTTTTTTTTTTTTTTTTTTTTTTTTTTTTTTTTTTTTTTT